CACTGGAATCCCATATGCGTATTTCGGAGACACAGCACACATCGGTGGTAAGAAACGCTAGGGTTTTTAGACAAGGAAGCCTGCTGACCGATTTGAAATAGGGTTCGTACGTTGAAGGCTCCAATGTGTAGTTTGGAGCGAGGCTTCCGTAGACTTGGGACAGTGTTTTGAGCACTAGGATCGTTGGCTATGGAGGCACTTGAGGAGGAAGCTGAAAGAGGAAATTTAGAGTTGAAAGTCGATGTAGGAGGAATAATAGGAATTGAAGAGGGAGTTTGATTATGAATACAGTGGTCTTGAGTGCTGTTAGAAGTATGAGGGCGGTTATCACTTCCCGGTTGCCCACACCGTGGAAGGGTTCTTCTGGAGGTACCTGAAAAGGAAATTGGATTAGAGGTGGTCTTAGTGACCTGAGAGCGTGACCGCAGTGCCCAAGGGACAACTGCTTGAGGTCGGTCACACGCGACATTTTTATGGGTAATTTTTGGGTTAGCTCCGTACTTATCTAGACCCTACCGGCGGAGACGGATATCCGTGGGATAAGGCGAGGTGTGCATTTTTAGGGTCGACCTTTTCTAACCCCATCCCTCCTTGTGGGTAGGCAGCGTCGCTGTCATGCTGGTTGTCTGAAGGAAACACCTTACTGCTGTCACACCTCTGTGCAGTCAGCAGTACGACTTCGCCTTCGGACCTTGGGTTTGTTGCTTTTAGTCTTACAGCTCTTCAACCGACCTGTCTGACATGGTAGGACCTTGAGGAACGGTTGTTCCAGCCAGTATAGCTCGGTTGCTTCATCACGATAGGCAAACCCGACCACCACGCCAAGGTTGTGTGACCATTAAAGACCTTGATATCTCTGGTCTACTAAATAAGCTTGACATAGGTAAATCCACGGGGCCCGATGAATTGTATCCTAGGCTACTGAAGGAATTATCTAACTTCGTTGCGAACCCTTTAAGTATATGCTTTAATCTATCCGTAACACAGGGTCGTTTACAAAAAGACTGGAAGTCCTGTCTTCAAAACAGGTACGAATCATAAACCTGAGAATTACCGACCCGTTAGCCTAACTAATGTGGTTGTTAAAATCTTGCAAAAGATTATCCTGAAGGAGCTGTTTAAGTACCTTGATGAAAACTGGATCCTTTCGGAGAAGGAGCGCGGTTTCAGAATAGGTTATTCTTATCTCACTAATTTATTAATGGCTCGTGAAAGCTTGTGCGCTCTTAAGGACCAAAATTTACCTGTTAACGTAGCCTACATTGATTTCAGCAATGCTTTTGACAAAGTTCCGCACAACCGGCCGTTATATAAGCTAAGAAATGCCGGAATTGGAAGCAATCTATTGATGTGGATGAAAGACTTCCTAGTTGGGCGCCAACAAAGAGTACGGGTGAACTCGAAGTTATATAGCTGGGGAATTGTGGTTAGTGGAGTGCCCCAGGGTACAGTTTTGGGGCTATTGCTATTTCTCTTGTATGTAAATGACCTTCCTTGTCTCTTATCATCATCGATCTTGCTATATGTTGACGATGTCAAGACATGGAGAACAATACGATGTGAGGGTGATAGCTTGGAACTCCTGAATAACCTGAAGAAATTATCTGAATGGTCTCAAACCTGGCAGTTGCCGATAAATTCTTCCAAGTGTGTTGTGATGCATATCAGTCATCAAATTACAGCTACATACAGGATGAATAGTACTGGACTACCTGTCGTCCAGACACATAATGACTTAGGAGTCATCGTCAGCCAAGACCTAAAGACTACTGCACACTGCCGTAGAATTCTTTACCTCGGCAAGTAGTTGAGGCTCCATCCGTCGACTCTTTCAAAAGTAAGTTGGATCAACTAAGAGAACACCATTGCCAGGACTAATACAGGCCATCAAGCCTCCTGTCCTTTCCAAACTGAAACTTATTCAACTGAGGCGGTTATGACATACGTAACATATGCCTGACCTTAGCCTACCTTGATGGGCTATTTTGTCTGGTGTAGGAGTCGGGTGGGAGAAAGCTAAGGCTGGCCAATTGGAAAAATGCCATCAGTCCATGAAGTCACTGACAACTGCACTGAGTTATATCAATAGGAGTAGATTACTTGGTTGGGGGACCGTGTGATTGTCGTAACCAGTGGTTAGACTGAGCGAAAACACTCAAAATCGCTTGCAATGATGCAGGTACATCCATTCTTTATCTTCATTCAAATTCTGAGTTTCTCAGTCCCCTAATAACATTTTTCATGTTTCGTCACACCCGTAGAAAATAACTCGCTAAAAAATCGCTAACCAGAAAAAATAACCTCACCAATTTATATCTGTCTCTCAAATCATATCTTTAGTGCCTAATCTTTCTTATTGCCACTGTTACTACCTTTATTATTCTGCGACTAGGCCTGGCAATTCCATCTCTCTTTGCTTACGGGGTATGGCAACTTGAACCGATATACGAGGCTACCAGATTCTACTCTGTGATTGACTGACATATGAGTGAATAAACTTCGCGTTGGAATCCCTCTTTAATTTCATTGGTTCCCCCATAAATTATAGTCTCATCGATCAAAACATTCACGTTTAAGTCAAACATCTCCGTTGTCATCGAGGTCCCACATTTTCGTCAATTGAATTCTAAAATTAAATAACGGTTAACGATTAGAGTGGGTTTTACGTAAAGTTTTTATTACGATTATGTTACAACATGAAGTGAGACAGTAATTTTCGATAAAATTAACCGCTGAGTCCAGAAAACAAAAAGATAGAAAGATCATCAGCGTAAATTATTACTCACATTATCTTTCCTTTCTTGTTAACGCTTTAGTCTATCTGTGATGCATATCTTAAAACAAATCTTGCGTCGCGACTCATATTTTAGCAAGGTGTCTTTTGTGTACACTGACTAATTTAAACTTCAATGTTAATGCGCCTGCCAAACAAATATTACAAAATCTATTCTTATCTCATACCTTGGTAGAATCTAAATTGCTGAGCCTCCATTTACATAAAATTACAGGTAAAGTGAAATTGATGGACGACTCCGGTCTCATAATGTGGGGCAAAAAATATCTCCTCGACGTCTTTGAGTTGTCGTTCATAAACTTGGTCTCCTTGGCCATCTAATATGGAAATGGATTATGAAAAAAATCCGTGATCTTACAAATTTGTCCCTCATATCTTCTTGTTGAAGATATATTTCTAAGGTGTCTAATTCCTTGTTGGTTGACAGGGAAATGAAACTATGATTTTCCACTGATGTTACTTGAGGAACTATTTAGGGATACATTATTTGAAATGCACATCATCTGCTTAATATCAGCGTTCAGATTAGAGATATATTCATTTTCGATGGTATATGAGTGAAGACAACCGCACACATAACTTACTCAACTAATTCACTGCCACTTGGCGTTGTTGGTAGTTTAGTCTATTTTCGTTAAACTTATAGGAATAATAGGCTTACTTAGCTACCAACAGTATAGGTGTTTCCATCAGTTTAAACTTTAGATAGACAACCTTATTACTTTCAATCTGGATCTTGGCTACATCCAAATCAACTGATACATTGATATAGTCGGATTTCGTTTTGTGTTCCTCATTTTTAATAATTTATAGGATTACATACTTATCTACTAGGTTCCCTGGTCTGCGGTGACATCTTTTTATCTTGAAGATTAGTGATATCATATCCAACTAGTTTACTAAATGAAGCAACTGAATCTTTAGTTGCATAAAATTATCTAAAGGGAATTAGTTTCTCTGTGTACAAGATCACACATATGATAACAAATCAGTTTCCATTCATATCGATTTAGTTCATTATATGAATGTCAAAGATATTGTTAGGATTCATGCAGTAAATCGCATTTATTATTAAAAATACTTGCTACAAGAAGCATCTGCTTCTTAATCGAAGCATTGATTACTGTAAAGATGGGAAACTATTTTTCGAATTTCAAAGCCCAAATATATCGAAAAACTCAATAAACTTCACGAAAAGGTATGTCGCAATCACGGAACTATGGTTTCACTTTACATTGGTCACCAATATGCACTTGCATACTGTCTCACCAACGAAAACCCACATGTGCTCGTGACTAATTACTGAGTACATAAATATACCTATGTCATCCGATAGAAAGGTTTAGGGTATTAGCATGGAGTGCAAACTTCGTTAATCCGTTAACACATATCTGTAGTTAGTCTGGGTTTCCTTTGGATAATTGCTTCATTGGTGTAAGCCTAGTAATAATCCGTTCTTCAAACTCGTAAGTAACCACAATTTCAGTTGTAACAATAGATCGACTTACTTGCAACCTACTAAGGAAGGGGATCTGTTCTGCGTAACGCTGAATAACTTGTTTGCTACAGAGTATTTGTAGTGTACTTTCCTTTTGATCTGTTTCATCTAGGACTCAGAATAAAATTCTGAATAACATTTTGAATAATCCTACAGGTGTGAATCTCGAGACACAGATGAAATGGTCAACTATTTCCACGTCCAAGCGAAAGAGGCGAAATTTTAGTGTAATGTTGCTCATATTTCCCTCAATTTTGTCAATATTTCCCATTGTTTGCTTTGGGGTATAGTATTAACACAGTTAATTTTCCTAAATTACATCTATACAATAATTAATATCTTGGTCTCAGTCTTAAGCTATGGTTGTTATCTCCTGGTGATACATTATATTAATTGTTATGAGTGAAAATATTTAATATGTTTCGCCATTTTTATTACCACTCCAACTATTGTATTTGATTAATGCGAAGCCATTTAGATTCATTGATCATCCATGTTTTTGGTCAGTTCAGGTACTGTTCAGATTAACTTGAATGACACGTTCACCATATGATTCTCGCTATATTTTTCGTCGTCAGCAAAATATACCTTAGAAGACTCATTCATACTCCCATATCATTTAGGGTGTAGCACGTTGTATTCCAGGTATTTTCTTGACACACCACAGTTAATGTTATGTATTAACTGTCATTTCTTATTTTTTTTTAGGATTGTGATAAATTCAGACAGGAACAAAATCTTCATTCAACTATCTCAACCTTCAATACTATAAATAACACAGCACAAGAAACCTTCAGTTTGTTATTTATACTATATGAGGTCTAAAAATTGATTTTGGGTTAACATCTCAGAACATTATCCATTTAAAGTGAATACGATAACTTTATATATTAACATTCTTCTATAGGCTTTTTTGTGGTTCAAAATGCCGACAAAATTACTTCGTTCAATAAATCAGTATTTATATCCTCAAGATGAGATATTCATATTGATAAGACCTATTATTACACTAATTAATAATACTGTAGGAGTAGCTGCTTTAGCTATGCCATTTTGTTTTCATCAGGTATTTATTTTGTTATTCATTTATATTATAAAATTTAGTGTGGTATTTTATTATCATTTTTGTTTCTTGGAATTACTGCTGCATTTTCAATAATGTCATGCGATGCTTTAATTGATATTTGTTCTACTCACCGAGTTCTTCCATTTGAACATGCTTGTAATTTTAAATATTCTATGTAAACTTGAACTCTATAGGCTTTAAAGCATTAGGACATATTGGAAAAAGTTTAGCTGAATTAAGGTAAGCGTTGTATTATATGGGGGACTTTTTAGTGTTATTTGTCTGTTGTTTGGTTACGTTGTAGGATATTATGTTACTATTGCAGATCTGAGCACTGGTGTTGTTTCACAAATCGCTATAACTATAGTAAGTTTTACATTATGAATTAATTTGATGTAATTTATTTACCATACTCATATACACAACTCCGAGCCATATGGTTTGGGGGGTAGTGATATTGCCTTGGCGTTGTGTTCTATGCCCTGTCAATTATATCACGTAATTAATTCTACCAATTAGAACACCGAATTATATAACCAGACCAATGACACGTTAACCAGTACGAACAGCCTAGTTCCAACTCTGAGTCCTGATTAGTCCTTCCTGTCTGAGTCCAGAACACAGCTTCTACTGTATGGATCATGTATTTCAGACATACCTGGTTTATATATAAGCAAATGAGACCGCACCATACCATAAAATAGAAAATAAAAATCACACAAGATCAGGCCAAAAGTGGCTGTAACTAATAAATTGGGAATAACTTAATGGTAAATCGTATGACAGTAGGTCAGGCAGAAGCTTATGATAGAAAAGGATATAAATGTATATAGTTTAGTTACTTAACAGTTATACAATAAGAATATATGTATAATAACAGTCCATAAATAGCTCGCAGAAGTTACTCACAATTTAATCTCCTTCTGATACAATATTTATTCAGACACACAAACATTGGTACAAAGGAGCACTAAAAATGTATATGACTCACACAAATCATTCAATTTATGTGTGGGATAGGATACTGTTCTGATGTACAAACCGAATTAGGGTGGTTTTCTTAGAGTGGCCCACTCAACCAACACTTCACATAGAAGTCTAATCCACAAAGACAGTGGAGCAACGTTAAGAGATACGATGCCATGGTAGTCGGTCACCAAAAATGGGTTTACATGCCATTTGTTCTTTCAGGATCGTGGAGCCTATGTGCACTATTGATGTGGAATTAGGATTTTCCAACTCCCTTACGTGGGTCCTCCTCCTGGCTGGGGTCCTAGAGATGGTGCAACAGTGGCTAGAGACGTTATCAAATATGACTGAGAATAGAAGCCAGTGACAATCCTGCTATAACTTCTTTAAATGAAAGAATTCTTTATGATTGTACTTTTGCTAACTGAACTGTTATTATTATTATTACTACACACTTTACATTACCTATTCACAACCTCATTGTTATTACGTGTCGCATATGTATTTGGTGTCCCTTTGTACCAATGTTTGTGTTCAGATAAATAAATAATTGACGCACAAGGCCAAAGGTCCTGAGTCCAATTTTCTGTTTCGTAGTCGTGAATTCTCACTATTGTCCTATACTAGATAGGACAAAAAGGCCGTTCAGTACTGCAAAGTATCTAATGCTTTTCTAATTATGATCAGTTCATGCTTTTGATGATCCTCTATATATGCCATTATTAAACATAAACATTGGTACAAGGAGGCACCCGATAGATATGCGCCATATAAATCATTCGATTTGTGTGAGGGCTGTGATACTGCCCGGGTGCCCAGATCGAAGCAGGTGGTTTTATTAGGAGGCCACATCCGGAACCTTTGACTTAAGAGTTTAGTCTGCAAGATAGTGGAGCAACGTCATGAGATGCAGTTCCATGGTAGCGGGTGACCAATAATTGGTTCATACTCCATTGGTTCGTTCAGGATACTGGAGCCCATGTACATCATTGGTTTGGAATCAAGGTTTTTCAATTCGCCTAGGTGGACTCTCCGTGTCCATCAACCCGGTTTCCGCACCGGACATTCGCTTTTCATCCTATATATATGCCACGTTCCTCAGTGGCTGATTTTGAGCTGCTCACACAAGACTGAATTATTGATGTAATTCGATAATTGAACTGGTATCAAATAATGAGAAATCTTTCCAGTAGAATAAACTTTTCTATTAGAATAGCTCGTTTATACACAAAATTTTGAATATGAGAATAAATAATTGATGGTTATAACAATGACAGGTAATTAATCAATGAATTTTACAGTAGAATTAATGACTAACTATAAGATCTAATTATTATCTGGTCTCATATATTACAAACCTATTTCATTAATAATACAATTCATGAATTCAATATAACTAACTCATGTTTACTAAACTTTACATCATGTTTATTATTCTTTTATTTTTCTTACTAAGAATAGAAGTACTTTCACTATACATACTGAAGTAGTAGATACAAAGCTCAGATTTGTAAACAAAATAATTGAAAATTAAATATATAATAGTTTAAATCATTCAATATGTTGATTATTTCTGTATGTCTAAACATTTGTTATCAGTATAGGGTTGTGAAGATCGTTGAATTTTAATTGTGATCATGAATTGATCAGTTAAACCACTATTGAAAACCTGGAAGCATTAGATGGGATGCGAATCCATGACCTTCAATCTTGCGCACGAATGCCTAACTGCTAGACCACTGAGTTGGCATTTAATAGTGTTAATGTCTAACTTCAACCAATCCATGATATTTGGTGACCGTCTTCGATTGTCATCGGTGAATAACCACCTCACACCCAACACAGGTTAGTTCCACTAATCACGGCTTCTAACTAGAACTTCGAGAATTACCTCTTAAAGCTAGTCCTCAGTGAGCACATAATAATTATCAGTATGGGATTGTAAAAATTGTTAAGTTTTTTTTTATTGAGGAGTCTCATACTAGGACGAAACATCCATCCACTGCTTCCAGCATATCAATATTGGTCTAACATTGATCGATTCATAATCTTAATCTAAAAACAAATAAATATTCATTAACGTTTTAAAACATTTTTACATTAGGATGATTTTTTTCTCTCTCATTTCTCCTCTTCTATATTATTTAGCCAACTCATCAGCTTCGATTTATTCTACTAGTGACGTTTACAGTTGCTTTAATACCGCTTTGTTTAGTTTCAAAAGTTCAAAGTTTACTTCGATTGAATGTATTTACAAGTCTATTTTATGGTGTAGTTACTTTCCATGTGAGTTCTATATAAAAAATAAATAAAACTATTCACCTGATTTTTTCATATATGCCAAGATTAACTTGAAGGAATTAGGTTAATAAATTATTGCTTATTGTCAGTCACTTAGTTATCTACAACATAAGACCAGGTACATGTATGTATGGATCGGTCCAATTCGCATAACAAGATGTACATCAAAATCATAGAAGTAGTTACTTTAATGGTACAGAAAGAATTAGTTCGTAGAAAGTAATGTATAAAGTAATTTTAATCTCACAGTTTGAGGGAAAACAAAGAGTGTACACACCTATGTCATTGTAATCGATTCTGAGTCATGTCACCCAGAGTCTCCAACTATTGGTTACGATAGTCACACGGACTCTAACCAAATAGTTTTCATCTACCAACATGGCTCAGACCAGAAGTTAGTGACTTTATGAATTGATGCCACGTTTTGGTTTGGCCGCCCCTGACTTTCTTCCATCAATTTCCAACACTAGTGAGCATTGCTCGCCCCCTAATACCCCGAGTCTAACCTCTCTATTGCATACCCAGTGATCCTAGCAGATCTCAGCAACATTTCTTAAACTATTAGTGCTTACAGTTTTTGTAATATATTTTACTTCATTTGTACAATGAACGTATTGTCAAGACTAGTCTTGCATAAGCCTTTTAATATAATATTCCATTCAATGAATGTAAAGAGATGATTAAGATTGTGTTATTTTCTACGATCGTCCAAGTCGATTAGTGATGTACAAGCTTCCTATAAGCTAACTCAACCGGATACTTTAGTAAGCAAACCAAGATTGAACAAGAAGCTTTTATTGTTTCAAACAAATAGACTATATATCTATAACTCATTTATAAATATAGATACATATTCCACAGAAAATTAAGTTACACTTTTAACCTATAGCATGTGTCTACTTCCTCATAAATCGAACCTAAATCATTTCTCATTGATCATTTGCCTTATATCACATTGATTAAAATTTTTCAGAATAATTATGGCTGCTTACAGTTTACTTATCAAGTAAAACTTTATGTACTCAACTCTAGACGGTACTTTTAGTGAAAGCTCTTCATACTGTTCATTTGGCTAAACCAAGGTAAATGAAGAAGTATATGAGGGTTAGAACCTTTAACCTAGAGACTTGAAAAGCAAGTTATTTAACCGCTAAACAACTTGTTCAAAGCATGACATGAACTTATAACTCTCAACTGATTTAAACTAAGCTATAATCTTTCATTTCAAATTTTGACTACAACAAGACTTCGTTTATACGATTTTTATTTTGAAAGCGTTTTCGGTCACTTAAAATATACAAATCCTCACATGTCATTCACTATTAATCTTCAGATATCAGACCATTAGCTCTATAATCTATAAATCACTATCAGTAATTAACACTATTGTTTACTAAAAGTGATTTATGGACTACACTATATAGATTTAATTATTCTTCACTAATCAATGTAAGTGCGTTCTTGGATCAGTCCTTACAATAACATCACTTAGTTATTATCAAATTAACCTAGTAAAAATACTGTCTCTGAAGTAGTACCATGTGAGTTATTCGCCTTTTAGAACAGTATGGAAAATGTTTGAAATACAAGTAAAACCGATATATCTAGATGATCTTTACGTTTAACTACTATTCAGTCATAGTGATCTTGGGTGTTAATGTTGGTTTGTGGGCAGTTGCCACTTCCCTGTGGAAAGATACTTCCTGAGTGATAACCTGTAAAGGAAACTGGATTATAGGTGATGGTCTTGATGATATAAAAGCTTGACTACAGAGCTCAAGGAACAGCTGCGTGAGGTAGGTCACACAGCGTGTTTGTATATGATTTTTTTATGTTTCAGCTCCGTACTTTAGCATCGACAACAGAAGTCTATGAGATAAAATGAGGTGCACTATTTTTTGGGCCGACATTTTTTACCACCTTTTGTTATGAGAATGTGACATCACTGTAGATGGTAATTGTCTGAGAGAAACACCTTACTATCGTCACATCTTTGTGCGGTCGGTATTTCCCCGACCGAAGCTGCTACCTTGACGTGGTGGTCGGGCTTGCCTATCGTGATGACCTAACCGAGCTATATTGGCTGGAACATATGTTCCTGTAGGTTCTACCATGCCAGGCAGGTCGATTGGAGAACAGTGAGACTAAAAGTAGCAACTCACGGTTTGAGGGCGAAGTCGTACTGCTGACTGTAGAAGGGTGTGACAGCAGTAAGGTGTTTCCCTCAGACAACCAGCATTTGCAGCGATGCTGCCTCCCCACAAGGACGGGTGTGGTTAGAAAAGGTCGACCCGAAAAATCTCACACCTCACCTTACCTCACGGATTTCCGTCTCCGGCGGTAAGGCCATCTGAAGAACGGAGCTAACACATTAAGAAACCCCCACAAAAAGACCGTGCGCGGCCGGCCTCAAGCAGTTGTCCCTTGGGCTCTGCGGTCACGCTCCCAGGTCGTTAAGACCAATACTAATCCAATTTCCTTTTCAGGTTCCTCAAGAAATACCCTTCCACGGTGTGGGCAGCCGGAAAGTGATATCAGCCCTCATACCCGTAACAGCACACGAGATCAAGTTGGTCATATTCAAATCCCTCCTACACCTACTATTACCTCTCTTATCTCCATGACTAACCCTCCTTACGTCTTTTTATCATCTCGCAGCGCTAGGGCAAACGATTCAAGTACGCGGGACGTTATTCCTGGTCTCCTGAAACCACGCTCTAAACTACACGTAGGAGCTTTTAACGTCCGAACACTGTGCAAAATAGGACAACAGGCTTCCTTAGTTAGGACTTTAGAATCCCGCACCATCGATGTGTGCTGCGTCTTCGAAACGCGCATACAGGATCCGATTAGCGTCATTCATCTGACCTCACCATGCCAAAATAAAGAACCGACTCGATTCACACTTCATGTATCTGGAAGCCCTGATTCTGCTTCCCGTGGCCTCGCCGGCGTAGGTATAGCATTGAGTCCTAGGGCAGAACTTGCTCTCTTAGAGTGGATCCCAGTAGATAGTCGTTTGTGCGCTGTTCGACTGAACGGATCAGTGAGGATCCGAAAAGATAGGGACACTCGTCGTTGCCTCTTCGTCGTCTCTGCCTATTCTCCCACTGACTGCAGCTCAGATGATGTAAAAGATGAGTTTTACAGAAAGCTTTCGGACCTTCTCCGAAAAGCTAAGCGCTCGGATGTAGTAATAGTGGCCGGTGACTTTAATGCTCAAGTAAGTAAACTATGCAGTAGGGAAAGACACTTGGGTGCATCTTATGGTGTCGTGGCTCAAAGAACAGATAATGGCGACCGTCTGTTGCAGCTATGCTCAGATAAGTGCCTGTTTCTTGCAAATACTATCTTTAAGCATAATGAAAAACATCTTTTAACTTGGCGACCCCCTAATTCGTCTAAAACGTTGGACCCGAATAGATCACATCGCTATCAGCCACCGATGGAAGGACTCGGTAGAAGACTGTCGCTCATTCTGGAGCACATGCTTGGATCCAGATCATGCTCTAGTACGAGCGCGTATCTGTCTGCGTCTTACTGGACGTAGGAAAGACGCTGCAAGGAAACCTATTAGGGGTCTACTTAATGATAGTCAAGCCAAGAGTATATTTCAGGAACAACTAGAAAAACAGTTAGGCAGCCATGTATGTGACCCCCACCCCTAGGCAGCATGGAATCATATGCGTAAAGCTGTGGAAACAGCAGTGATATCTGCTAGTAAGGTAAACCGTAAGGTTAGGGAGCAACACTGGATCTTAGCAGCATCTATCGCACTGATAGATGCTCGGAAACTCATTCCACCTGGCTCTGAACATAATGAAGTGCGGAGCCAGCTTAAGCGCAAGCTGACAAAAAGTTTACGCAATGATCGTGAACAGTGGTGGGTAGCGAAAGCAAGAGAGATGGAAAAGGCAGCGGCAATAGGTAATAGCAGACAATTGTTCAGACTTGTTAAGGAAACCGGAATTAGGAACCCGACTGTTAGCGAAACACTCTCAGAGAAAGATGGACATATTATACATTCTCAATCCAGGAGATTGGATCGATGGGCAGAACACTTCAGGGATCAGTTCAACTGGCCTTCAGCCACACTTCGGTTTCCCACGATCTCCAGTCAACCTGAGTGGCAAGTTAATGTAGGTCCTCCGTCTCTTTACGAAGTTGAAAAAGCCATAGGAAATCTGAAGCGAGGGAGAGCAGCAGGCCCTGACAGATTTACTCCTGAGATTTTTAAGGATGGTAGTCCAGTATTAGCAGTGAGATTAACTGAGGTCTTAGGTAGAATTTGGGAACTGGACGTAATCCCATCTGACTGGTCTCAATCACTGATTGTGTCAGTTTTTAAGAAAGGACAAAAGTCCTCTTGTGACAATCACAGAGGAATTAGTTTGACTAATATAGTGTCTAAAATATTAGCTTCAATAATACTCCGACGCCTAACCAAAGCTCGTGAAGAACAGACTAGAGAAAATCAGGCTTGTTTTCAACCTGGACGTGGTTGTGTAGATCAGATATTCACACTACGTCAGGTTCTAGAACACAGACACACGTTTAGACGCCCCACAATGGTAGTATTTCTCGACCTTAAGGCGGCATTCGACTCTGTTGATCGTAAGGTTCTATGGCAGTGTTTGTCACTGAAAGGAGTACCAAAGAAGTACATTAACCTTATTCAGGCTCTCTACTCGAACACAACTGGTCGAGTGAGAGCTTATGGCGAACTGTCATCAGAATTGATTACCTCAAGTGGAGTTCGTCAGGGCTGTCCACTCTCCCGATTCTTGTTCAACTTTGTCGTCGACGTACTTTTAGAGATAACACTTTCCTCGTCTAAATTTCCAGGAGTTGAACTTCTACCGGGAGGTTCACTTGTTGACTTAGAATATGCTGATGACATAGTTTTATTTGGTGAAGACGCTGACAAAATGCAGAGTCTTCTGACCACTCTAAGCAACAATGCAAGCATGTTCGGGATGCGATTCTCTCCCTCGAAATGCAAAATGTTGCTTCAGGATTGGGTTACATTGACACCCGAACTAGTGATAGGAAGTTAAGTAGTTGAGTGTGTCGACCGCTTCACTTATCTTGGAAGTCTCATCAGCCCTTGTGGTCTGGTGTGTGACGAAATCTCAGCACGGATACAGAAGGCTCGACTAGCTTTTGCCAACTTGCGTCATTTATGGCGTAGGCGAGATATCCGTCTATCAACCAAAGGACGTGTTTACTGCGCAGCAGTTCGTTCCGTCCTACTTTATGGCAGTGAAACGTGGCCGGTAAGAGTAGAGGATATTCGTAGGCTACTAGTATTTGATCATAGGTGTCTTCGAAATATTGCTCGTATATCCTGGGACCATCGAGCAAGTAACTCAGTTGTTAGGATACGGGTACTAGGTAAGGATGGCAAATCAATTGATGAAGTGGTGAAACTTCATCAGTTGAGATGACTGGGACGTGTTACGTATGCCCAACGACCGACTGCCTCGACGTGCGATGTTCAGTGGTATAGGAGTAGGTTGGAAGAAAGCTAGGGGCGGCCAGACCAAAACATGGCACAAGTCCATGAAGTCACTGACAAGTGGTCTGAGTCATGTTGGTAGGTGTAGACTACCTGGTTGGGGACCGCGAGATGATAGCAACCGATGGTTAGAGACCCTGAATGACATGGCTCAAAATCGTTTGCAATGGCGCAGGTGCATCCACTGTTTTTGTTCTTCCCAATTTTGATCTCCTTATTTCTCCTTGTCTCTTTTTTTTCTCTTCCCAAATTTATTTCACTGTATTATGCTCTTTAAATAACATCTCCAAACACTAATCTTCCCGATTACTGCTTATACTCTTATTACCTCTACCACTACGGGATTTGAATTGACCACGGCATCCCTGTGCTAATGTGATGTGGCAACTCGAACTGATGTACGTACGTACGAAGTTCTACGTTGATACTGACTGACTGACTAACTGGTCGGTATTTCAACTCAACCTTCGAACTTTAAATCTATTGCATTTAGATTTGACTGCCCTCCAACCAACCTAGCTATGATCGTGTAAGACCTTCAGGAACGAGCATTTCAGTCAGTATAACTCAAGTAGATCCTCATGATGTCCAAGCTTGATTGCCTCATCAACTTTTAGCAACTACGGTTAATTTAACCACCATTAAGTCGATTTTATTTTTTGTATCATTTAAGAATTTGCGCCCAATGGGCTTTGATTTTGTAGCCAACCTTCAAAAATTATTTTTTTTATGGAAACAAAAAATTTATTTTCTGTTCAGATGATTTTTATACTTGGTCTACCTCGATTAATTTCCAATATGCCATGGGAAGAAATGAATTGGTGGAAACCATCTGGTTTGATTGAATGTATTCCTATATTTTTAGCTTCAATGTTCTGTCAAACGTAAGTTGTTTTTGCAGATTTCATTTCTATCTCCAGTAAAATTGATTATTACTACAATAACAGAAAAAAACTCTAATGCTGCGTCCACTAAGTCAACCGACAAAGTACTATTCACTAATTTACTTTGATAATGATTTGGATATCATCTGTTCTATTTTATACTATTCACTATGTTTGTGGGTGTCACAGCTCATACGTTCTATGCTCAACAGTCGTTTATTACCATTAAAAATTGCTAATTTAGCGTTATTATACTTTCATAGTTTGCATCACGGACTGATCTTAAGTAGCCACTGAAGATCAGGAAGCACTAGACAGCTCTTCGACAATCTCCATCCACGAGCTCGCCAGCGGTCGAACCTAGAGTATCGGATCTTTTGATGAAGGTTTAAACTCTACAGGATTGAGTCGGAGTCCAGTGGTTCTATGGTAACGTTCTGGGCTTGTAGTCACTAAGTTCCATGTTCGAACTCTGCCCCACTTCAATTGAAACAATTGGATAGTATCACTACTAAACATAATTAAAGTATAACATGCGGTCAAGTATACTAGTCTATACCTATAAGTCAACTGAATAAATTCAGTTTGTCCATTTCTGTTGCTTCAGTTTTTAATGTCGTTTAAGAATTTTGTATGATGTTAACAGTTATAATTTCCTGTCACCTGTTTCACCTAAAAAAGTGAACCAACTAGTAAACAGCAAATAGTTTCTGTCTTAATTTAACTGTCGCGCTGTACACGCATACACACTGGATACCTAGCAAATATAAAAAAACATAAGTAAATGTGTCCGTATTCCACGTTGCTTTAACTAACTGAAGTAGAAATAAGGTCCGTTTCATATGAGAATTGTTTCGTTTAACGCCTACTTGTACAAGTTTTTTCTTTAATTTCAAATTATGCATAGTCAGATTATTCAGTAAATCTATTTTGTTGATAATGTATAAATAGACAATTGTCTAGAGATATTGTATCGATAGATTTTCTAAATAAAAGTAGGTTATAACCTGTGTTAAGTTGCAAACTACAACTTTAGTCATCTTATATACTCAGTTATGTTCTTGAATAACGCCAAAATTCCTGACGAATGTGTTTTTTTAAAATGCTTCTTCAGTTTGTAGTGAACTTATTTCTACCTGTTACCCCTCTTGAGTCATAGGCCGCCAACTAGCTCTGTCCTGAACTCTCCTTTGCTCTTGTTGCCAAGTTCTATTCATGGTTTTGATTTTTACCTCCGAGTCTTGGAGCTGTGTGTTCTATGGTCTGTTTCTTTTCCTTTCGTCTTGAGAATTCCAGGTTAGGATTTGCCTTAAGCGGCTTGATAATCTCAGTGTTCGTTTAAACCACCTCCGGCGTCTCTTTCTGATTTCCTCCTCAATAGGCAGCTGGTTGTACTTTCTGCTCTATTGGGTTGTTGCTGATGGTGTCTGACCGACGGACATTGAGTATCTTGCGTAGAAACTTTTTTATAAATATTTGTACGTTTTTGGTGATGGTTGTAGTAGTTCTCGAATATTAAGCTCCGTACAACAGGATTGACTTGAATTTAGTATTGTGAATTGTGACTTTGGTGTTGTCTCGCAGTTGTTTTGAGCTCCAGGTGTTCTTCATTTTAAGGAATGCTGCCTTCGGTTTGCTAATATGTGCCTTCACATCTGCATCAGATACCTTTGTACATCGATGATACCACTTATGTACGTAAAAGGCTCCATCTCTTCCAGAGCTTCATCAAGTGCGACACACCCTTTATTGTATTTCAGACCGCAGTCTACCAGAATGCATAATATGACTTATAGTACAGTCATAATTAAATGTTAAATATCACAACAAGGTCATTCACTTTTTTTCATCTTAAAGGAAGATGTAAACCTGGTTTGCGTGATATGCTAGATATCTACTAACTAAAATCTTAGATAGTTCCTCCACATATTCACAGTCATAGATTCAAATGAATTCACTACAATCAAAAATGTTTTGTTCATTCATCAGTGTCATGATGCGAGTAGGGGCGGGTACGCTCTCTCTCTCGAAAATGCTCTCTTATGGTCATGCATATATACCCACTACCAGAGAAGTCCTGCTCACTGCCTTTTTCGTGACAAGGGTGTTGTTTACAAAATAGAGAACGAAAATCGAATATCCGACGTTCAAACCGGGGTAGCGGTTACAGAATATCTACGTAAGAGAGTCGGAGAATCCTGATTCCACATCAATGGTGCGTTGTTGACTTTACATCACCATTATTTTATGAACACAACTAAAAAACTGTTCTAGGCTCGTTTGCGATAGGATCAACCTTTTGACCACTTCTGTATAGGAAGAATCCGTATCAAGTTACAATACACAGGTGTAAGTACCAAGAAGGGAAATCCCAATGAGACTGAACGTGCAGAATTGTATTCAACTCTTGATACTTGTTGGTTAGGTTACGGAACGATGGTAAAAAGCAATTGCTATACTTTATCCTATTTAATTACAGGATTTATCAAGCCACTATCTAAACTGAGAATTGAAGTTAAATTCGTAGTTCTATGTGTGCACATGAGTGTTTGTTAAGTCCCGATAAGCATAATGATTGGTAATTTTGGGATCCATTTATGGACCAATACTAAACGTATATTTTTATCGTATAATTGTTAAATAACTAAACTATTCATATTTCTCTTATTTTAAGCTTTATTTTGACCTACGAACCATTATTATACGTTTTGCCATTCTTGAGTTATACCCAGTATATTAATTACTACCTCCCTCATTCACAGCCACATTTGACCAAATCTTGTACAAATGTTGTTTCATATTTTATTGGTACGATGTGGTCTGTCTGATTGGTATATAAATCCAGTATGTTTGAAATACATGATTCATATTGCAGAGGCTCAAATTGGTGTTCTGGACTTAATTGGCTGGGCTAAGTACAACCAATAAGGACTCTAGACTGCTCCCACGTGTTTATTGCGTCCTTGACTCGATCGATAAGTCACTGTTCCCTAATTGGCGGTCACAAGTTATAGCAGTGTTGTATTGAAGAAAAGCGTTGATTTATTCCCTGAAAGCATATTTTTGAGTTGTATTTCTATATCTTCAAGAATTTCTTCTCAGTTTTATTAGTGGTGTGTTCCAGCCGAAAACAGCTGGCGAATCCTACTGGGGAAACCTAGTGGTCCTTATGGAACAGATACCGTTTTCTCAAGACTCACAAACCCACCTCGTGAATGTGATTTAGTGCAAACCGCAACCCCACGGATCTATGCATGCATAATGGTATCGCACCAAAAGAACGAGTAAAGAAGTTTGCAAATATACTTGCTCTGGATATGTATAGTCTACTTGCATACTAGTTAACACACGAAATTTCATCCGAGTATCACGTGGCATACATGCAAGCATATATACCCAAATGCCCTGGTACAGCCGAGAGTGAGGAGAATCAGCTCTTCCTTTCGAAATGCTCTCACATGGCCACGTGCATAAAACCACTGCCAGGAAAGTTCTACTCACCACCTTCTCGCGGCTTGGGTGCTGTTTACGAAATTGAGAGGACGAAATGTGAATGTCCTGCGCCTTCACCGGGTTGGTGCATATGGAGAATCCACCTAGGGGAGTTGAAAAACCCTGATTTCAAACCAATGGTGCACATGGGCTCCGAAATCCTGAGGGAACAAATGGCGTATGAACCAATTGTTGGTCACTGGCTACCATGGGACTGCATCTCTTTACATTGCTCCACTGCCTTGTGGATTAGACTCCTAAGTCAAAGGCTCGTGGTGTGGCCTCCTAATAAAACCACCTGCTTTGATTTGGGCACTCGGGCAGTATCTCAACCCTCACACAAATCGAATCACTTGTGTGGTGTATATCTATTTGGTGCCTCCTTGTACCAACGTTTACGTGTTGAAACAAACAAATAACCATATCCTGTTAGCAAATATATGTTACATGCACACCGGTAACACACAGGTTTTACCCCATTCATCCCATAGCATACACATAGATATATTCACCCACTCGGGAGCGCAGATGTTCACCGCTCCCAAAGAAAACGTATTCGCTTCACCAGACTGACTCTTACACTTTATATGCATATCATTCACATCATAGCTACCACCCCAGTATTTCCGGACACACACATAAGCATAATCACTTTCTCAGGGGAGGTTGTTAGTCGTTTCACCCTAATGTTTGCTACCACCTCTTTTTATTACGTCTTCGACCTGAAAGATAGACCACTGATTTATTAGACAAAGGCATACACTTTTGCAGCTCAGCGTTTCCTTTTTACGACACCACGTGCGTACCTTTTGGATGTACCTATATACTTGAACTACATGGGTACGAGAACTATTGCAGTTCTCATACATAAGCATACACATCGGGTAGCCCGAGCGGTAAAGTGAGCTCCGATTATAGAACCCAGGATTGATCAGATACAACATAGTGAGTGATAAGTCCGATTTCTACAACCACCTATGTTGACTAGCAGGGTTGCCTCCACTATCCAGCAGCGCCACGAGGAGTCCTTAGGTCGGATTTTAGTGTCTCCCAGTTATATTGCTTTATTTATAACTACCTAGTTTTAGAAAGATTAGTTATCACTCTGAAAATGCAGTTGAACTTTTCCTGATAGATGTCGATATATCCATAAGTCAGTAAATTCCTATTTCAGTGAAGTTTCGTTCACTGAGCCACCAAAATTGATCCACTTGAGCTAAGAATCTTCACTATTACATATTTTATTTACCTTCATTAAATGCATTTCATCTACTCAGTTTCAACATTTATTACATCATCGTCTGTATTGTATTATTTCTCATTTTAAGATTCCTTAAAATTGTTATTGTAATCGTCACCACTGTACAGTTTAGATTACAGACTGATTTCATTTAAACAATCACTGGAAACCATGAAGCATTGAACAACTGAAACATGAGCCTCAGATCTCTTGACGTTTTGTAGAGAAGTCATAACCAACGCAGTTCAACCATATTAAGTATCAGGCAGTAGTTATCCATTTCAATGGGATTTAGATTAGTAGTCACATAATATCGTGAATTGATTAAACTTGGAAAATGTCAGCTAATAAAAGACTCAATCAATAGTCTGAAAATTGAACATTCATCCTCAAGGCTCAAAGTTTCTTGGTTCAATCCTCAGTCAACTTGTACAGGTTCACTTCTTCCCTGTAGTAGTCCCATTTCTAGAACAAAACATCTACCATCCAATACGACTGCCTAGCGTTTAATAATGGTTTAACTGCGTAAACCAACAACAAAAAGAAAGATTACAACAATCTTCATGTACTTTTTATTATTAATCAAACTAATTTTATTGTCACATCCTCTTCTTTTTTTTCTTTTTTAGACAATTACATATCACATCATCTAAATCTTTTCAGCCAACATTATCAAATATGCGATTGATAGTTCGTGTTGCATTGATTACAGTGGCTATAGTTTATGGATTTGTAAGTTGTTGTTCGTTTGTTTGTTAAATTCATGAGTTGATCTAAGCTAGACCTCCATTCAAAACCTAGAAGCACTGGTCGGCCGTTTTTCGTTCGAGTATGAGACTCCTCAGCAGTGTGCATTCATGATTCCGCGCGGGAGACTGATGATCCTGGAATCGTGAATGCACTCTGCTGATGAGTCCCATACTAGGACGAAACGTTCATCCAGTGTTTCCAGGTTTTGAATGGAGGCCTAGCTTAGATCAACTCATGAATACAACTTAAAAATCATTCTGATCAATTTATTTGTATACTTTGTAACATTTTATAATAATTTGTATCTTGACAGATTTATACAACAGTCGGTGTTTTCTCCACGTGAGAACACAATTCATACAGATTTGTAAATTTTATTTTGAAATTGAAACTAAGAGGAAATATGTCTTTGAAGAAGCGTGTAGAATATTTGATGATGCCATATTTATCAGCTTGTTGTATGCATTTAACGGTTGGATTGTTTATGAAACGTAATGGCTTGGTCATAGTCACTAGTTCGAGTTCCATTGTAATGAAATTGAATCAATGTCAACTTACTATAGTTAATTAAATAAGGTTTTGGTTGATCACATATTTTGTTACGATTGTTCATCATAAAGTTGGCTTTACATCCACTGACAGATATCAGTTGGTGAATGGTTGAAAATCTTAGGGGAATTGAATCCCAGGACTTTTAGGTCTTGTAGTAACTTAGATACTACTCAGTCGCAGAATCGATTCATACACATTATTAATTTCAAATAACAGAGCATGAGTGATTGGTTAAACCTCAGTCGTATTGGTAGTGAGAGACAAATACAATCAGTTAATATCGATAAATGATCGTGTTTTGTCATGAACGAAAGAAAGTAGATCATTATTCAAATGGCTCAATAGTTGTGTCATGCTCATTGCGAGACCTGATGCTCATGGGATCACAATACTTGGAACGATTGTGTGGACGTGCATCAATTAGCGACGAGTTTCATACTAGAATGAAGCAACGGTTGTTCAATGCCCTTTGATTTCTAGTGGCTACTCAGTTGATATCATTCTGTTTTCTGTACCTTTATATCTTATAGTAAGCGGTAAACCTCTAGACTACTGTGTTTTCACACGAACTGCCAAAACTTAGAAAATATCAACAAATCCTCTCAGTCCATCAGTCAGCTACAACGTAGGACCAGGCACATATATGCATTGATGCAGGGGGTCGCCATGTTAGATGATGTCTCTCCTTATGCTTAAAATTTGCGTTTGCTAAAAATAAACGATTGTTTGAGCACAGTTGCAGCAGACGATCACCATTATCTGTTCGTTGTGTCGGAATACTAAAATACCCACCTAAATGTCTTTCTGTTTAGTTTAAACTACCTATCTGAGCATTAAAGTCACCTGCTACGAGTACTATATCTGAACGTTTAGCTTTCTGAAGAAATTCAGAGAGCTTTCTGTAAAATTCATCTTTCACTACATTCGAGCTGCGGTCGGTGGGAGCGTAGGCAGAAATGATAAAGAGGCAATGACATTTGTCCCTATCCTTCCGAGCTCTTACGGAGTCGTTTAGCCGAACAGCTCATAGGCGACTGTTAACAGAGATCCATTCTATTAGCTTTTGTTCTGTCCTCATGTGCTCACCAGGGAACCATTTTCGAGAGTTAACTCCCAGATTCATACTGGGAGAATGTAATCAGTGGAATCCAGCCATTTTGAATGGGAGACAAGTATCGCCAATCACAGTCGACAATAGTCGTGTAACATCAAGAATATTGACGAAAGCTAAAAAAAAATGTAAACCATTGAATATTAACTTACTGGTTTAAAGGCTGTGTTCATCGCAAAATCTGAAAGTCCTGGATTCGATAGGGTTGTGGGTGCGCTATGTTGATGAGTCCCGGAATAAAACAACTATCTAATGTTTCCCAGTCTTAAACAACTGTTTAATTCCAACTAATTTGTGATGCAAACCACAAGAACTTCATATTTAGTGTTTATCATAAGTTTTAATTCATCATTATTATTATCATTGTTTCTGTCTTGTTGTTGTATAGTTTGGTTTCTTTGGCTACGTAGCATTTATTAGTTCGAAAAGGACAATATTTTCCGGTAACGTCTTTTTAATGTATCCAGATGATTTACGTAGTTTCTGTATACGTGTCGGATTTCTACTAACCAACATTGTCTCTATACCGCTGATTATTTTTCCATTACGTCAAACTGTATACAATTTATTATGTCAAAAAGTAAGTCGGTGTATTTAATTCATCCTATCCACTTTATTACTCCCCTAAAAACATTAATTAGTCGTATTGTATTGAACGAGAACACAGGCGGGGACAACCAAATGTATTTTAATATGACATTACAGAATATCTTGGTAAAATCTGAGAACCATACAGTAAATACGTCTTTCGTAAAATATCCATCATTTGTCTCCGATTTTGTTATTCGTTCATTTCTATAACAATCACTCTCTGTTCTCGTTCTCTTTGATTTTCTTAATCTTCTGCCGCCAGAAATTCCACTCTCGATTGATGATACCTACTACTTATATCTGTCGACATCAGCAGCACACACCACATTATATGTATGTATGTCTGTATATGCTCTGATTGTACTGGTATCGACCTTTTATTTGTGTAATTAGAAAGACCTTCATAAGATAGATGACTGTCAAGTTATTGACTGACTTGAATTTCAACTATTCTATTTAAAATAATAGGGTACCGTTTTGGGGGTAGTAACCAATTATAGGTCAATGTACTTGTTATGTGTGCTGCTTATACTATCTGATATAACTAGTATGTAGTCGCAATCGGAAGTGGAATGCCTAACAGCAGAAGAGAAATAACAGAAAGGAAATCGAAGAGGAGTCAAAATAATAATAGAATTAGATAATAGTCTCATCTTCTAGAGGCTTTTATACTGTTATTTACATACATGAACTCTAATGTATGTAGTGAGCCAATCAAAAATGAGTACAAATACACATCATTGGCTAGGAAATGAACTGATTTTCTAAGGGGTTGAAATGTACGAAGTTGTGCCATCGTACACCATTGTCTTCAGTGAGTTGATGTCTCACAACAGACCTGGTTAAACTCCACTGGTAACGGCTTCTCACTAGAACTCCAGGAATGTTTCTTGAAGTCAGTCACTTGTGAGCAGATAATTATTATCAGAAGGGGTTTTGTGAAGATTTTAGAAATTTCAATGATTGAAATCATGAGTCAATTGAAGCTAGACTACCATGGAAAACCTGAAGGCACTGGACGGCCGTTTCGTCCTAGTATGGGACTCAGCAGTGCACATCTACGATTTCGGCTTTCCATGGTAGTCTAGCTTGAATTGACTCATGATTTCAATCATTAAAATTTCTAAAATTTCCACAAAACCCCTTCTGATTGAAATGTATATATATACATACAAATGAGTATTTGTGTATATTATTCGATAGCCCAATAAACTTTCTCTTTTACCCTTGTCTTCTGGCTCAGTTAGTCAGTTTGAGAGGTCAATGTGTAGCACGTTGTGTATCATTATTAGATCTCGGATATCAATCATAACATATATATCTGCATTTCATTCTCCTGAAAAATAAATATGAAGTAAGATGTAAATGACTTGTATTTTGATTGAATAATAATTACGAGTTCTTGGTGAGATTTTAATTATCCATTCACAAGCTGTATTTATGATGACATTAAAAGATCCACCTATGTCGCCCATACTAATTGCTTTCAATACTGTGCTGTGCACTACTTATGCAGACAGACTTCAGTAGTATGTAGCAGGAATTTGGAAATAGAGTGCTTACCAGCAGAAAACTGAACTAAAGAGAAGAAGAAAGAACACAGAAAACAATTGAAATAACAACAGAATTGAAAGAATGATGAAGTATGTAAAAGACAATTGAAGGAAGATATAAAAATGATGTATTCAATGTATCATTGTCATATTTTACAAAGCTACTGTTTGATTTTGTATAAAACAATAAATTGGTTTGCGGCTCCTTAGTTTTTGTTCATTAGAAAACAACAGAATCTTCTCTCAAAAACTCAGAAAAGAATAAATGACGAATAGTATAGATTCAAATTTACGATTATAAATGAAATAGTAAATACGTTTACATCAATACAAGTGAGATAATAATTATCTCGCCAAGAAATTGATCACACTAGTCTCAGTCAGTAACAACGTAGAACTTCGTACATACGTACATCAGTTCGAGTTGCCACACCACCTTAACACAGAGATGCAGTTGTCGATCCAAATCTCGTAGTGGTAGAGGTAGCAAGAGTGTAAGCATTGATCGGGAAGATTAGGGTTTGGAGATGTTATTTAAAGAGTATAATTCAGTGAAATAAATTTGGAAAGAGGAAAAAAGGGACATATTATAATTTTAATAGTTCAGTTCACGAGTCGATCTAATTTAGACCACCATTGAAAACGTGGAACCACTGGACAGCCGGTTCGTTCCAGCATGAGACTCTTCAACAGTGCTTGTTCATTATTACGCACACGGGATTTGAATCCAGGACCTTCAATGGTGGTTGAGCTTAGATCGACTTATAAATTCAATTGTTAAAATTACTACGATCTCCACAAACACCCATTCTCATCATACTATAATTGTTAATAATTTCACATTGTCAATGAAAGTATACGTAACATATGTCCTAGTCATTTCAAATCATAAAAGTCCATAACTTCACCTATCAACATGTCATTTTCACACTGTACTCTACTTCTGTACTAACCTCAGTGTTGTTCAGCTATACACAAGCAATACTTCGATGGAGTTTAATAATCGACTATTTTAATATTTAGTGTATAGAGGATGTATACACTTATAGCAGTTATCTTTACATTTTGATAGATTAGTATTTTTAATATCTCATTAGGTTTTAGTCAGTTAATTGTGTTTAATTACCGAGTATAGGTTCATATACACAGTATTACTGGGCTGCATTGTTTGTATGAGAGCTAACGGTGATACTTCACACAGTTGCGCAAACCGAAGTAAAATTACATGAACTCCAAACCAATGATCTAATGGTTTAAACCTGGACGCTTTAACTACTAAGTAATTACGCTACAACCATTGGAAACTACCGACCACTAGACGACTATTTCATGGTAATATGAGACTTTTCGACGTTGGATACATAGCCAGGAACCATCCATCAAACTCAAAAGTCGTAGGACCTCCACGGACTAGTAATTCACGCGTATCTTCTACTCTTAATAGCCACGTTTTGCAGCCGTAAAGTAGGACAGAACGAACTGCCGCGCGGTATACTCATCCCTTAATTGATAGACGGATACCTCACATTCGCCATAGGTGATGTGAGTTGGCGAAAGCCAAACGATCTTTCTGAATCTGTGTAGTGATTTTGTCAGACACCAACCCATTAGGGTTGACCACAGTTTCAAGTTAAGTGAAGTTGCCGACTCATTCGACTTCACTCCTTATCCTTAGTTGACGTAGGCTAGTCCTGAAGCAACAATTTGCATTTAGAGGGGGAGAAACGCATCCCAAACATCCAGGGATTGTTATTTAGTGTCACGGATAAACTCAACCTAACTTTCAGGCTAAAAACAAGCAATATTATTCTACGGGTTTTTTTTCGTATTAATAATTAATATTTTACAAACAATAAAAAGTATTTTATTTCTTAGGAATTTTTATGGCAAATCCGTTTTCTTTTCTCTCTCAAAGAGACTAACTTCATTTGGTGTGGATTTGGAGATCGATTCAACTCCTATGATTTCTGAAGAAGTTCCAAGAAGGTTTATTCAAAAAATCACTATCTCATTACTACTTGTCTCGTTTCTTCTCAGTTTAACTACGGATAAAAGTACTTTCAAATGTTTTATTTTATACCGTATTTTTGTTATTGTTACATTGTTTTCAATCTGTCTTAGACAATGTAGACAAATTAATGGTTGGTCTGAAATTGTATGGATCAGTAGCGCTTAATAGTTAAAGAGGTTCAACCTATAACGCCACTAAATCCAGGGTTCGAGCCTCACCTATTTCGTTCTTGACAACTGTGTAGTAGTATCATTAGCTCTCACACTGAGCGTGGCTCATACCTGATTGCTTGATAAATGAGTTTTTTTATTAACTATTATCGGTCCAAGTTCCTATGCACTGAAATAACATAAGGAAATGAAATCAACAATATGCGCATAGCTATGGAGTCGGAATAATAGTAGAAGAGGTAGTAGTAGTGGCATTACTTCTCGAGAAGTCCTACTCAGTACCTCCACACGGAAAAGACTATTGTTTTCAAAGGTGAGAGAACGGAGCAAACCAGCTTCCAGCTGAAGAAGAAATTAGGAAAAGACGATGGAAATGGATAGGACATACATTACGCAAATCATCAAACTAAATCACAAGGCAAGCCCTAACTTGGAATCCTGAAGGGAAGCGAAAAAGAGGAAGGTTGAAGATAACATTACGTCGGGAAATAGAAGCAGATATGAAAAGGATGAATAACAACTGGAAGGAGCTGGAAAGGACTGCCAAGGACAGAGTTGGATGGCGAATGCTGGTGAGCGGCCTATGCTCCTTCACGAGGAGTAACAGGCGTAAGTAAGTAAGTTGCTTTAAGCTCATCGGTCAACATGAGATTACATCTTCCCTGAGATATGGCAACTTGGACTGATGCATATATGTGCCTGTTCATACGTTGTAGCTGACTATCTGACATCTCCTCCTGATATTGCTTTAATTCCACATGGATTAGACTTAATAGGTACAGAAATTATATCAGTAGTCTCATTCTAAATATCAGATAAAATAAATTTTGATTATTCACAAAAATCTCTGTTCTCCTCTTTCCATCTCATTATTAATGCATAGTGAAATGTGTTTTTTTTTCTTAATTATTATTTCAGTTGAAGTAATCATTCGATATACAACTAGTGTAGCTGGTTCATTGACTGGTTTCATTTTACCAGCATTGGTACTTATTGTTGCCACAATAAAAAATGGTAATCATCATCATCATCATCATCATTACAATGGTAGTAGTAGTAGTAGTAGTATTTCACGTTTTTTACAAATTTATCGTAATCATTCAATTAGTGCTTATTGTCTACTATTAGTTGGTTGCCTTTTATTCTCATTAGAATTTTTCACAGTCCATCATACAAATAATGGTAATACGAATCCGTTGAATAATTTAAATGGAATTAATAATCTTCAATTATTATCAAGGGATCATATTGTTGATACTACTACTACTAGAAGTAGTAGTAGTAGTACTACTGCTACTACTAAAACTGTTACATCTCTTCAATCGAATATTGTTAAAGTGAATATGAATGCTCCACAACCAATTTTAAATCTTACAATGAAAAATCCCCCTGAACCAATTGATCTAACAAACATTCAATCACAAATGAATGTTAATAATAAATTAATTAATATTTCACCATTGATTAAACAACATAATCAACAAACTAAACCAATTACTATTATAAATAAAACTATTTTGAAAAATTTTAAAAAATCACGATGATAACAACATCATCATCGCCGACGTCGTTGTTATCGTTGTCGACGACGACGACGTCGTTCAACGCGAAATTGATCAAATTCACATGAAATCTTAGTTGTTTTTTTTTTGAAAAAATCTAAAGTAACACTGTGATTGGTAAAAGAAAGAAAGAAGGAAAACCGTCCATAGCATTGAAATCATCATGTAACAGTGTTGTGTACATACGAATTGGAATCATTTTAATTTTGTGTCGTTAAAATCGTCGTCACGTGTGTATACCTTATTATCTTATTGTTCTGTGATATGTTTTTGTTTTGTGTACAATTTCTTACATTATGTCCCCATTCATAATACACAATACACATGTGATATTTAAGAAGGGATCAATGGTCATAAATTTGTGTTATTTACTCTTGCCTTTCATTGTATGGTTTGTTTATGTTAAGTATGGAGACTGGGTTCTCTATACATACGAAACATCATTTCTTCTTTCGATGGTTGTGATTTTCTTTTACTTCTTGTTGATTTGTCAACATACTTGTTAATGTTCCATCTTTCCATATGATTATTATCTCTGTTGTTACTTACTTACGCCTGTTACTCCTCGTGAAGGAGCATAGGCCGCTCACCAGCATTCTCCATCCAACCCTGTCTTGAGCAATCCTTTCCAACTCTTTCCAGTTGTTATTCATCTTTTTCATGTCTGTTTCTATTTCCCGACCTAATGTGTTCTTTGGCCTTCCTCTTTTCCGTTTCCCTTCAGGATTTTAAGTTAGGGCTTGCCTTGTGATGTAATTTGATGGTTTGCGTAACGTATGTTTGTTGTAGGTAGATTATTTAAATGAGTAGTAGTACAATTGTATATGTATCTATGTAATTACCATTTGTTTATAATGCTTTATACCACTTACCATCGACATATTCAGTGTTTCAGTTTGTTTGTTCTTTTATATGAGAAGCTATTTTGTATATGTATGTATGTATTTGCACTGTTCCATTTGTCCAATGATCAATTACAAGCTGTAATTAATCATTCAACTGTCATCTGTGTATATGTAATATCCCCCCTTATGGTTTATTTAAATCCATGATAAACGTTTGTTTATTATGTTTTGATTCACATAATTTTTCTAAATACTTTTGTAATTTAAATAAACATACGGGAGACTTTTTTAGCGAGTTAGTTTTCTACGGGATGGGATTGCTAACCTCATGCCCGATCCTTCTCCTTTACCCGGGCTTAAGATTGGTAGTAACTTTAGAACAGCTACAGCCGGAGTTATAGAATAATGTAGTAAAAAGATATTTCCAGTGTAAGAGATTACTGAGTTTCTTGTAGCATAATTCACGAACTGATCTTAACTAAAAAACCATTGAAAGAAGAAAGCGCTCTACGGTTGTTTTGTTCTAGTATTATACTTCTTGACAGTATATATTCATAACTTCACTGACGGTTGAGTTCACGGCCTTTACATCTTGAGGCTAGCGATAAACTTTCAGACCACTGAGTTGGCACTCAATAGTTTGTATCTTTAAGTTCAATCAATTCACACTATTACATAGTCATCTGATGTTGATGGTAAATAATTGGCCCACACTAAATTTATTCAAACTATATCAGTGACGGATTCTCACTAGAACTTCTGGAATGAATCACTAGTCAATACATGGTTTTCATCGGTTGTTTAACTGAAGTTATTTCGTGTTTTGAAATATTAAAAGGTATTTATTACTTATACTCAAGTTGACACTATTGATAGTCAGCATTTTACGTTATGGATGTCTCTTCATTTTTACTTTTTAAGTGACGGTCGTTTGATGATGATAAGAAGGGAAACGCATCATATGAGATTCGTTCGGTCTCGGTGAAAGCAGTGTAGTTTGAAATGTAATGGGGGACAGATGGACTGTGTGCACAGTATGAATCGAAAAATCACTAAGTACCAGACGTTCAGACTAGACAAAACCAAGTCGATATCTTCAATGTAGTATGACGCAATGAACTTCTCATTGCTTTGTAACTTAAGCCTATTACTCCCCTTGAGATATCAGTCCCCGATCGAGAATCTCCAGCTAACTCCGCTCTGGACTATCTTTCCTACTTGTCAATCGCTACTCATTCTCTTGATATCTACCTCCAATCCCCAGCGCCGTGTGTTCTGTGGTCTATCTTTTCTTTATGACTTGAAAATTACAAGTTATGATTTTCCTTGTGATGCAGTCTGATAATTTCCGTAAACTCTCACATCCACCTCCAGCGTCTCTTTCTAATTTCCTGCTCAATTGGGAGCTGGTTTATGCAACTAATCCGTTTTAAAAGTCACTTTTGAACGCCGAGCGCTGTTAGGTTTGAAGCTTCACGAGTTCACTTAATCTGCGAACGAGAACAAGACTTAGTGACCAAAGACCAGTAAACTAGCTATTGATGCGTTCCAGCCCCGCTATCTAGAAAGAGAAGTCCAAGCTTGGTATGGAAAACATATCCTGCAAACAGCCAGAAAACGAACGAGCCCACAAACACAATTTAAAACGTATATATACAAACATATATAATATCTATTGTCATGGGAAATTTTTAAACATTAATCAATCAATTGACTGTCATTTAATCGATGTGATAAAATTACAAATATGAGTTTTGGGGATATATCGTCCCGAACAAGCACGGACAGACACATTCATTATTATGTGATCTCCTTCCTATTATTGATTTCTACTTTTAACTCATTAAATGTAAACTAATTGTAATTGTCTTTGGATAAAGTATTGCTTAGCTTATACTTTGTCTCTCTTTTAGTGGCCCGATATCCGACTCCGTTTAAATCGTATTATGATTGTTATTGCAATATACATGTAGCCAATCCTCGTATATAATTATCGATTTAACTCGCGTTAGTGAAGAATGAAATTAAATAAGTCAAATACGTGTATTTCATACAATCGTCGATCCAGACAAACGGTCGGAGCAGCGAAGAAAAGAGAGCGTAACGAAATGACACGTGGTGAAGACGTGAGCCAACTCGATTTAACCAAGCGTTTATCGATATTTCTAGTCTGACAAAAATAAGTTACAGACATTAAGATTAAGATAAGAAACACACACACATGATCAAATAAAATCAGTCAGGATCAATAAGTGACAGGGTGAAAATGTGTCCTGAGAAAAATCAATATGTTGATCTGTCCAGAGGCTTAAATAACTTATATGGGCTTGACATAGGACCAGCCCCTACGCTATAGTTGTTCTTGAATCTGGCATAACGTGATTTCAATCTGTATAGCATGTCGGATGAGTACCCAGTATGGTTGTGATGTAATTTTGTCACTGATCCTATAACGGCAGTCTGTCGTGACGATCGAAAACATTTTTACTCTGTTGTCTTATCAGAGCTCTCATTAATCGTCTTAAATGAAATCAGGCAAGTAATGTAGATCAATTTTGTACAAATAATTAAACTTTTATCCAATTACTGTGTTTATTTACAAATACTGGGAAATACCAGTTGAATAATCAAGTTGTATATGTTTGCGACATGGTTGTAATATTGTGGTGTATGCTACTTATGTTGACAGGTATAAGTATGATGTAACACTAATCAGAAATGGAATATCTGGCGGTCGACGGTTGAAATATAATTGAAGAGAACAGGAATGTAAACATAGAGTAATTATAATAACAACGGGAATGGAGGAACGATGAAGCTTGTAAGAGACAACTAATGGAAGATGTGCGAATGAAGTATTTAATGTATGATCTTCATATTTCAAGAAGATACTGTAATTTCGCATTAAACAACAAGTTGATATTGCTCACCGGGTTTCTCGTTCACTACAGTATGTTCGCTAAGTTGAGTGGTTTGATTACAGTGCTTTTAATATCATTCTGGACAACATTATCAGTGTTTATCTCATGTACAAGTGAGACAAGTGTTACGTTAACCTGTTTCGCTGATTTTGTCGGTAAATGATTGTTTTCAGAGGTTTTGTCAACCCTACTTGTCTTTGTATCCGTGTTGAGCAACTTGGCACCTAGATATATGATTGGTTGGTAAACAGACTTCATACCAATCTATCCTGCTCCTTTGAATTTCCTCAATTAATGATTTTGATATTTCCCCAGTCAAATTCATGTCTGTAGAATTATCGGTGTGCAATGATATGAGTGATAACATATTTTATTTTACTGTCAGTTTGTTTTCGTGTATTTGTGGATGAAGAAAGAAATGTAATTTGTCCAATATGATGTTTGTCACAGTTGACTCAATTTGTTCTATATATCATATTGGATTTGTCTTCTTTCATTGTTACATCTTTTAGTCTACTCATTTATTGCAACAACGGAATCGCAGATTTTTGTGTATGTTTAGCATCTTCAACGTAATAAAGGTAAGATCGTGAAACAGATTCTTTTAAAACTTTGTCTATATGTAACTAAAAAACTAGACTACTTCTAGTTCACCATGTATGAAATTATTAAAGAATGGAAAGTTGACGTAATCTAAGTCATCATCCAGCTCCCCCAGGTGGATTCTCCATGACCACCAACCCGGTTAAAGTGCCGGATATTCGCTTTTCATCCTCTCAATTTCGTAAACAACACCCCCGTTGCGGGAGGGCAGTGAGTAGGACTTCCCTAACAGTGGTTGTATTCACGTGAACATGTTAGGGTATTTTGAGAAGGAGAGCTGACTCTCCTCACTCTCGGCCATACCAGGGCATCTGGGGGCACTTCGCTATTCTAGCCATTTCCCGGTTGGTAATATCCCCGTGATGCATGCTACTTATATCTATCGATATAAGTAGTATGTAACATCAATTGAAAGTGGGAACCCTGGCAGCAGAAAGCTAAGATCGGATTGAAGAAAACAGAAACGGAAATTGAAAAGATTTATGATTTGGAAAAATCATACAAAATGTAAAGAACTAGTGATGGAATTTTGCAAATGAAACATTTAATGTATGGTTGTTATTTTGATGAAGTTTTGTTCTGTGAGCTGGATGGTTTGGTCGTGGAGCTTTCATCGTTCTTCTGAACGACATCATCAACACAAACTTCAGATAGAAGTGTTCGAATTTCTCCATATCCATATCTTCTCCACCATCTCATCATTCTTATATTTTACCAAGAGTATTCTGTAACTAAACTGAAGTGTGGTTGGTTTTCTTTTCCTGTTCATTGGATCCTCAAACAATGAATCAAACTGAAATTGATCGAAATTCATATAAGTCAATCATACATAAAGTCAAATTCAGATCTGGTCAATATTTTGTACATTTTTTTGGCATAATATTTAAATGAAATAGTTGTGTATGTCTTTCTATCTTAAAATGAAAATTACGACATCTACAACACCTACAACACTTTGCTATTGTATGAAATTGAACTTATCTTAATTATAACAATAGTCAATTGAATAGCTCCAAAATTAATGATCATATTGTTATTACTTGTGCCCTGTATCCTATTAATTTATAATGTAATAATACTGCCAATTAGAGCGCAGTGAATTATCGATTAGACCAATGACGAGTAAAACCTGTACTAGCAGTCTAGTGTTCTTTATCGGTCCTGCTTCCCGCTTAGTTATACCTGTTAAGTTCAGAACACCAATATCAGCCTCTGCAATATGAATAATGTACTTCAAACATACTGGGTTTATATACCAATCAGACAGACCACATCGTACCATAAAATAGGAAACAACATCCATACAAGATTTAACTAAATGTGGCTGTGAATGTGAGAGGTAGTGATTAATAGACAGGGTACAATTCAAGAATGATAAAATGTATGATAGTAATTCATAGGTCAAAATAAAGCTCATAATAAGAGGGACACGAATATGCATAGCGTTAGTATAGTGAACAGACAACCGGATGTACTTAGTATCGGAATTACAGACTATCTCCATAAAATCTGAAAACCATATAATAAATCGTCAATTTGCAAAATATGCATCAACCCAAACTGGACTGTTTCTGTTGCAAACACCAATCCATTGTCTCCCATTCCATTGTTCATGCATTTTCTTACAAATTCCATTGTGTTCTCGCTCTACCTTTCTTGATCTTCCCCTCATCTTCTGCTGCCAGACATTACGTTTTAACTCGCGTCATATACTACTCATATAAATATAAGTAGTACTCACCACATTGGTCCATAAATAGATTCTAACAGTTACTATTCTTTATTCTCATCGGGATATAACACATCTCCAACACTTTATCGATTTCCAGTCTCATAAATACAGAGAGAAGTTTAATAGTCCTC